TGTCTCATGAAAGATATGTTAAATAAAGTGAAATTTCCCATACAGTATGGAGGAAGAAAAAAGAAGGAAGCAACTCAGCTTGAGTACTCTGATGAGCTCTGATGAGCTCAGATTTCTTTACGGACTAAAGCGGGTGGTGAGGAGTATAACTGAAAATAAACACCACAGACAAGTATATACTTGTCCTGGAAAAACGCTAATATCCCTTTCAGCTAAGTTTGAAAAAAAGAAGGGAGGTATAAAAGTTCACTGCTACGGCAGCTAATGTAACCTTAGGCTCTGACAGAGCAAAAGCAAAACTGTGAGACCACAAGAGAAGTTAGACCACAAGAGAATTTCCTGCAACATGCCAAGAATCTGATTCTTCCCAACTTCCATTTTGCTTCTATCGTCCCTAACAAGAATCATTTTCAAACCAGAAAGGATAAAAAAATAATGTTAGGGTATTACTGAAGCTCTAAACAGAGATCATACAAGACACTTAGCTGCTTTAAATAAGCGTAAGCATCCAGATCCAGAAGAATTAGATACAAGGGTGTAGAAGAAATCTGCATCAACATTAGGCATCATCAATGGTTTGCTACTGGAAACAAGCTATAATAAAGTAGCCTGATTTGGACGGAATATTTAGACTTACAATTAAAGGGGTGGATCAAAGAAATGCCATAAACAGGACATAGCATGAATTTTAAAAAGCAATGGATAAAATACCTCATAATATTCTCATGGGTATAGTAGACAGAAGTAGTCAAATGATAGTTCTATTAAGTGGCTTCAATGTTGGTAGAAATACCATGCATAAAGATTGCTACTTTTAAATTTATACTAAGCTGAAGAGAGGTTCTTTGGGGATATATCATGGTGTGTTGAATTCCAGTTACAGAAAACATGCTCACTAAATCTACAAATGATACAGAGGAGAGAAGTTAATAAGCTTGGAAGACAGACTCATGAGTCAAAAAGATCTAGATAGGGGAAACATGACTTCACAAGTCATTGAAAAAACATACCTAGAAGTTTTCATTGAGTGCTGTTCAATGTGAGCCAACACCATTACATAACTCAAAAAATCGTGACCTGTATTAAGGTGGGTCTTAGATCAATAATGAGGTAACAATTTCATTGTATCATGTTTTAAATAGCTATTTTATTTTCATAATATATGAAATAATTTCATAATATATGTAATATATGTTCATTGTAGAATACTGGAAAATGTAGATAAGCAAAAAGAAAATAAAGATCACCCACAATTCCACCACTCAAAGATGAATACTATTTACATTTTAGTGTTTATCATTCCAGACTTCTTAATGCACATTAAAAATGTTCACACACACACTATTTTTACTTAAAAAAAAAAAGGATCATACTACAAATGCTGTTTTGTAACCCCTTTTTTTTTTTAATTCAACAGTATATCAAGTCCCAATATATTCTACACTAGTCAAATGACATCTAGTGTATTTTGCTCATTTCTGCTCACCACACTTTAAGAGCGTCTTTGCAAAATTTGAGAACATGCAAAGAAGGAAAAAGAACAGTGAAAAGTATGGAAATATAAGTTCACCTATCCTCTATTGCCACATGACAAAAGGTTGATGCAAATGATAGTACTTAAATGAAAAAAAAATTGAAGATGTATAAGAAAACAATATAGCTACACCTGAAGAATTGTCTTGGCAGATGAATTAGACTACTTTATATTGACTCATATAGCCAAACTAGTACCAACTTATGAAAATTACAGGAAGGTAGATTTCAACTAAATAGAATTGGTTTTTTTTAATAACTAGAGCTGTCAAAAAACGGAACGGATCTGGTCATTGGAGGGCTTAAAAGGGCTGGAATAACTAACTGGTAAAAGGATGTTAGAGGTAATTTCTCCAAGTGAGAAGCTGGATTACAAGGCCCCATTCTATTTGAAGATTCTATGATTCTAATGAAAAACTTACTACAGAAATTAATCCCCATCCAATATGAAGCAAATCCTTAGTAATTAAGGCCTTAAGAAATAGAGTCAAGTGCTTTAGAGCTGCATGAGAAATAATAACCCTAATGATGAACATCAATGTGCTAAATGCTTTGCATTCATTTCTTTATACCTCATTTAATCCTTAAAACAACCCTATACGATAGGCACTATTACTATTTCCATTTTATAGAAGAGGACAGTGAGGCTTAGAGAGTTTTTTATATTTATTCAAGGTCATTCTTACTTTTGCTGAAAACTGCAATGACTCCCAAGCATACCTGATTCCCCATCATACAGCTACTGCTCACTTAGGAGGTAATATGTAATCAAAAGCATCTTCAGAAAAGTTCTTATCTAGTGAGCCCTCAAAGGTCAGTCATGAGATCATTTTTCTAAGTAGAAAAATATTAAGGATTTTTAAATTTAATTATTATTCATAGAAAAAGAATGTTCAGATTAGACTAAGCCATATACTTGAAACTTTTGTGAATAAAACAGATTCAAGGAATAAGACTTAAGACGTGGTCAAGGAAATCTGAATCACAGAACTTCAAATCTTTGCCGTTACTAATTATGTGACCTTGGGCAAATTCTTAATCTTCCTATCTCTTTAGTCCTTCATTTGTGGAATGAGGATCAACCACTTAAGGTTGATATAAGAATTGAATGAGACGACATATGTAAGCATTTAGCACAGGATCTGACACTATTATTACACAACACAAGTAACAAAGTGTGTGTGGGGGGGTGGCAAACTATTCCACAATTCATTCTAAAATATTTAAAAATATCAAAGTGTCATTACATTTGAAGAGAGAGGGGCCATAGTTTCCATTATCCTGTAAATAAATTTCTGATGACAATCATTTGAGAAATAAAGTAACAACTAAACAAAATGTGCCTTCTTAGGAATTTCATTTTATGCAAAGGATCATCCAAAGAATAAAATTTCAACTCTCATTTTCTTCAAAGACACTGTTTTAGTTGTTTATTCACTATGAGATAGATAAATGCAGGTTTAAAGGTTATTGGGTTTGATTTTGATTTTTACAACCTGGTTCAAACTACTCTAATGAACACGTTTTATTGTTTTCTATGTGCATTCTTGTTGTAGAGCTACTACTGCTACCTCTGACAAAACCAGCAAAAGAGAAAACCTCTCATTCAAGAAGTATATTGTGGGTCACAATTTTAATATTCTATTTAACGTTACCAACATTAAATAGTTGGTATTTTATTCCTAAAATTTGACATCTATTCTTCTTTTAAAATGGCACAACTGAGAAACTATTTAAAAGATGTTTGCCTTTAAGTTCTATCACAAAGATAGGTTTTTTAAAATACCATTTATCTCAGTGAAATTAACTGAAGTTCTCACTGTTATCAATGAATTCTTTAGTGTTTTTCCAAAGAAACTGAATATTTTGAGAGACCTCTTTCAGGATATAGTCATAACCATAATCATTTTTATAACTGATATGATCCACTGGAAAACATATTTATTTTACCTGCAACTTAAAACTACAAACAGATAAACTGCTTTTGCATAAATTACCTGTGACTAAGGGCAATTATTACAGCCATAATCTGAAGCATGTACACACTGTCTGCTTGTGTTTGAAAGTGAAAATTATTTGACAAGGGAGTACACACAAGAGTCATCACTTCTAAGACCTACTAAAAAAAGTCCCATAAATATTCATTGTTCTGAAGTGATAAATGTGATAAAATGTCACTGTCAACAAGTATAGATTATCACATATGGAGCTTTTTAAGTCCCATCAACTACTTTCCAACTAAATTCATTTCACTGTAATACAAATGTTTCCATTTTCCCTATTAGCCAGTACTGTAATTAACTGCATTATCTGACAACTACAACATATGAGAACTTGTGTAAAGAACACAATGTCATCGTCCAAAAGTTTGTATTCAACACTTGTCAAGAGTAGCACAGAACAGTTTTTAAAAACCAAGAAAATCATTTGGCTTTTTAAAATTCTTCACCAGTACAGTTGGGTTGCCTAAGAGATGTTTTAGGGTGAAGGTATGAATGATGACTGATGCCTCCAAAAATATCCAGCGGAAAATGAATAGCCATGATTTTAGAAACTAAAGAGCCTTCCTCGAATTTTTTCTAATGAATATTCTTCAGGCTTCCTCCCCCCACCAACTGATTTTGTTTGTCCATCAATTCAACTTTTAAGTTAATACTTTCTCAAATATGCAAATCAACCTTGCTATTTTTAAGGTACTGCCTGCTGAATAAAGACCTTGACATTTTTGTAAATGTCATCTTAGAAAGATTCTCCAAGCAATATTAGTCTCACCTGCAACATCTTCACATTAAAAGGCCTCTACTACATTCCATAGCCACTATCCCAATCCCGACCTAGCATCCTTCATCCTGAGATATAATAACCAAGTTTCACTCAGCTCTGTACAGGTAACTGAAAGTACTGCTGGGGCTGCCTAACCTGCTTCATCAAGTTTTGCACACACCCTGTACTTATGCCACCTCATCAGAAGGTTCACTTTCTTCATTTTGTGGGATCATATTCCACTACACAGCAAATGCCTTCTGCAAGAGAAGGTAGCAGCAACCAAAGGCTGTGGCTTTTGCAGGCTAATTGCACGCACGCAATAGCTGCTCTGCCAATTTCATTTAAATAGACAAAAAGGCTGGGTTGGAAGCTGATAATATATAATAAACATTGATGGAGAGCAGGTGGAACGCCGATTTTCTTCCAGCAGCACTAGTACATGTACAAGTTCTGCACCACAGCTCAGAGAAAAGTAGCTACTGACGCATTGATGGAAGGCTATTTTAAAATTACTCAAAGAATCCAAGGCATCAATCTGACTGGGAGGCTCATGCCTCCTCTCCATACACACGGTCTGTTTTCCTACCTAATTTAAGAATGAAGCGCTGGCAGCCAGCAGGTGCAATAACCCGGAGGAGGAAGCCGTATCCATCACAATGCATAACGAGGTATGCAATCCCGGAGCTGCTTCCCGTCCTTACCTTAGCAGATTAGATAGGGGCAGGGGTCCGGATCCACCGCCCAGGATCCCTCCTTTCCTGCTAGACAGGAGTTTCTCCACCAGAGCCACATTTCCAGTGCGAGCAGCTTCCAGCAGCTCCTGGTCCTTCCCCATAGTCTCTCACCGACTCCCTCACAGAGTCCTTTTTCCCCTTTGGGTCCTCCTCCCCGCCCACCCCCACTCCCCAAAATCCAGGGCCCTCCTCGCCCCACCCTAAAATAATGCCAGAGCTTCAGCACGATGAGATGCCTGCAGCCCCGAGCCGGGAACACCACTCTCTCCTCCTCTTCGGGGCGCAGCTTTACAATGGGGATCAGACCATGTCTTGGAAGAGGGGCTGGCCGAGCTGGGAGCCGCGACGCGCCCCCACAGCCACTCCCCTGAATTCCCGAGGCCTCGTTCCCGCGGGTGGGGCGTGAGGGGGTGGAGACCGGGGGGGTGCTTCGGAGGAGCGGGAGGAGGACGGTAAGGACTGAGGAGGTCGGAGGAGGAGGAGCAGACCGTCCTCGCTGGAGCCGGAGCGCAGCGAACGACCGCGGCGGCGGCCCGCGCGCCC